GGTTGCACATAATTATGCATTATATAAGTATACTGCACTACTACTGTCATTCAGCAACAGCAACAAAAACCATAAACACTTTGCAGAATTCTATCGAATCATGTTGAAGCCTCTAACACCAAACTTCTATAACTTATTTTTTATTTTTTTATCCGAATACATACCAAAGGAGTTAAGTTTCATATAGCAGATATACGAATGTGTACGTACATATGTATTTTATCACAAAAAATTGAAAATTTTTTAAAGCAAAACAACATTTGTAGTTTAAATTACAATAAATCTGCTTTGACTTTTGACTTTTTTTAGGTTTTTTGTTTGCCATACAAGAGTACATAAATTATTTTATAAGTATTGTGCAAAATTTTGTGTGTGAAATTGTTTAAAATGTTTTAATTTCATATTTAAGCTTTGTTCGCATTTTGTTTGACGCTTTCACATATGCATTGAGTTGTTTTTTTTGCTTTTAAGTGCTATCTGCTTACTACACAGTTAAACTTTCTTCCGGTGCTTTGAGTTTTTCTTTTTGAATTTTTACGCTTTGTTATTTCAAGTATTTTAGACATATATTTTCATTCTCGTTAAAATTTGTTAAATTTAAAATTTCGTATAAGCATATTATTATTATATTTTTGTTTTGGCTTTTGTTTTTTTTGTTTTGTTTTGTTTTTGCTAAAATATTGCATGTCTTTTATTTATTAAATTTTTGGAGGCTCTATCCCTGAGTTCATTTAATTTCTTTGTTGTTGTTTACTTTAATTTAATTTTATTTATAGATTACATTTTCGCTTAATTACTTTATATTAATTACATATGAATCAAATACAAATGAAAATGATTCCGTTTGATGAGCGTGTTTACGAAAACAGAGTCTAGTGTGCTTGCTTGATTCGATATCGTGTGAAACTCAGGTTTTAGGCAACTCACCGTATTTATTTGAGAACATATTAAAAGTCTTGTAACGGTATCAGAAGGTGGAAAAATTAATGATAAATTAATCCAAATGATCTTTGTACAGCGAAGATCGTTGGATAGCTCAAGAAGCGGAGAAAATGTAAATAGTAGTTTTTATATAAGTATACTATATTTAGATGAGTCACGCATTCAAAGGTTTTTAGAATCAGTTTCAAGCAAAATTCAGGTAATGAAATTGTCGAAAGTTGTTGTTGTGTAGAATCTAAGCATGTGTATGGCGAGTTGTTATAAAGGAATGTAAGTTTTATCATTTGCTTTCACGAAAGTTTGAATGAAAGCGCATGGAAACTTTCATTTTCCATTTCGTTTCCAGTCACTAGCTGATTCAAAGTGAAATATAGCGTGTATGATTTGAGCGTATGTAATGTATGTCAGTCCGTGGTCCAGTTATAAATCAGTTTGTAGTATACTTCAACTATTTTCAGTGAACAAACTTCTTTTTAATATTCTTTGTTGGTTTTTTTTACAAGTTTGAAAGTTTTACCCCTCCTAAAAAAGTATTATTTATGATACTGAAAAAATCCTACCATTAAAAAAAGTTCCCATAAATGTTTATATGTATTACCTTTGTATTTTTAGGATTCACTCTATTAGTTACGTTATGTATAAAAATTGTCGGTTATATTGGTTATTATTCAGTGATCTATCAGTTAATGGTATTTATTGTATTTATACCTAAGTATAYTGAAATATGCTTGATTATTTGTTGACCACGAATATGATGCTAACTCTTTGCAAGGAGTAGGCTTTTACGTAGTCTATAAATGTATTCATTTGCAGCATATGTAAATTATTAGTGTTAGTGTTTTATTTTATTGTTATGCAAGTTAATTATGAGTGCTGAGTCAAATGCAATTAATTTGAACAAATCTTTGCTGTCACTTGAAATAAGTGTTTGAACTTTAATTCGCTTTTTGTTGTATCCATGTATGTATGTCTGTTATATATTATTAATTAAATATTTTGATGGCTCTGTTACATGGAAACAACAACACCTTCGGCATTTTGCAGCACATTTATTCATGACCGTGTATTGTTTTTCAAGAAATTTCCAGAGCACAAACATACAAACAGTTATACATATGTACTTAGTCGTATGTGCTCAGTACACTCTTGTCAAAATTTTACATTATAGACTATTTTGTTAATTCACGGTATGCACGTAACCATGCGCACGTATGTAGTTGTTAGTAGAAAAATAATCGCCGTAAATTTGGTGATGTTTTAAAAGTTTCATTTATATATATTTTTTATTGCATTAGTTTGTTTGTAATTGGGAATTTTTAGTTTAGTTTTTTGTATAAATACGGCTTAGCTGGCTAACTTACAAAAAATAGATCTTTATATGCTCATTTGATTAAGTTATAAATATGTAGTTGATCTTACATTTCTATATTTTGTATGAACTTGAATTGAACTATATGTTTACTGCAAAATTTGTATTTCAAGTATTGTTTGTTGTATTTGCTTCTTATTGTTTATTGTTCAGTGGTTATTTATTTATGATGTGCTTCACTGTACTAATGGCAATGTTTGTTTAGCTTATTTATTTTAATCTATTATATATATATAAATTTGTATCTTATTTATTGTATATGTACGCATGGATTTAGTTGAATTTGAAATATTTGTTAATACTTGTCTTGTCGCAGTTATGTTTTTGTTATCACTTTAGTGAAATTATATCAGTGTTTGGCAAGTCGAAATGTATTTTTATTTGAATGACAAATTGAATGTGGCCGGTAAATGCTACTTGTATTGCTGTTGTCAGTTCTCTGGTCAAATTTAATACCGTTGGAGCAGTCATATTGATGGCGATGAACACAATATAATATAACTTGTGTTAATAAAATGAAGATTTTTTTTGTGGCTCGGCGTGTTAAAAACAATTTTTGCAAGTGAGTATTGTTTTTACTGGAAAAATTATTGCAAGTGCTGACACAGTGTTTACTCAGTAAGATTACTTTGCGTACAAAGTTTTTGTTCCCGTAGTTGAAGAAAATTTTGTTTTTTCCGTGGCAATTCTGTTTATCATCCCAAACTTCAAATTTAAAAATATTCATTTTTTCTTCGGAAGAAGCGTCCGCAGTAGCAGAAGAGAAATTAAAGGACATTCATATATAACACCCGGATTGGGATTTTGAACAAATATAGGCAAAAGCGTAATGAAGCAAGAAAAAATGTTAACTTCGTAAGCAACGAAGCTATAATCACAGGTGTATTTTTTTTAAGATCAAAGGTTATAGAAAATCTTTCACTTAATTTTGAACTGGTAGATTGTCTAGCAGTTTTGCTGAGGTCATCAATTGAGGAAGATGCAAATCAGTCTCTCATACGTCGTTCTCAAGTGTTGGGCATCTCTGTGGCGAATTTTTCGAAAAGATCAACATTTTTACAAGATCAGATTGACGCAAGAACTGAAGTCGCATGACCCCCAGAATCGTTGTATGCTCGTAAATTGGGCTGAGCAACAACTTAAAAATCGTACGGTTTTCATCGAAAAATCATCTTCAGCGATGTGGCTCATCTCTGACTGAATAGCTTCGTCAATAAGCAAAATATGTGTTATAGGTCAGGCAGCAATCCACACGTACTCCRTGTGTCATCATGCAACCCGAAAAAATATCGGTTTGGTACGGTTTATGGGCTATACTTATTCCCTGATGGTCAAGACCGGCATGTTACTATGAATGGGAATCGCTACCGCTGAATGATAACCGAGTATTTTTTGCTCGAATTATTTGATATGAAATTGGACAATATGTGGTTCCACCCAGACGGCGCCACAAGCCACACCGCGAATGTGACAATCGATTTATTGAAATTTATATGAATATCGAACGTGAAATTGCATGTAGTGAGTGTTAAGATACGAATATGTTGGTAGGGAAAATTTGTTTTGAATGAGCTTTAATTTTTTTCCGGTTTCGTTGGCATAACATCTGTCAAATATATTCAATATCCTTACAGTCATTTAACAAACAACATCATATTTTTTGATTATAGGTACGTACTTGCTATTATTGAATCGAATGTGAGTCTCGCTTAAATAAAACTGTTTACTGTCCTATATGTATGTAGGTATGTATGTATGTTTCGAAATATGGTTTGGTGTGTAGAGCTGCAGCAGTCAGTCGGTCAGGGTGTAATTGAGTGGCTCAAAAAGAAATGCAATAAATTTTTAAAATCTTTAATTAAGCTGTTCATAAAAAATCCTAAACTAGAAATATAGTATTTTTGTATGTTTCAATTGTATGCGCATATATTTATATACATAATAAATGCCGTAGATACTTGACTGTGTTACATATTTTAATGCTTATTTACATTAAACTTATGTATGTATGTGTACATATATGTACATCCATATACATGTGTACTATATATATATATACGTAAATGTTTAGTTTAATTGTTGTGCCGTACAGTGTAAGTCCTAGCAGTTCTAATACAATTTTTAACTCAATTACAAATTGTTTGCGTRTATGTATGTATGTATTTGTGTATACTTAATATGTATATATGTGTATACTTATGTTTAACGCAAAGTATTAACTTCGAGTGATTTTTTTTTTAATTTTTCTTAATACTTAATTAATACTTGATTAAATATGGAAAAACTTGAACAGAACAAAAATTAGGTACAACAGAATTGAAAACAAAATACAAAAATATACAATAAATTAAATTGCACGTGRTTTATTTTATTTTATTTGTAATATAAAAACTAATAATATTTGCTTCAGTTTTTATATTATTTTTACTTATGTATGCACATAAGTGTGTCCACTAGCTATTAATATTACAATTGTCATTTTTATATTCACTCTCACCTATAATTGTATTTAWTATTAGCGATCGTTTGTTGTCTTGTCTTTTATTCATTTGTTATAGCCAAAAAAGATCACAGATCCTCAAAAATAAAACAAATAAAATTATTCACTATCATAAAATTAATTTAGTTTTCTTTTTTTTTTTTTTTTTGATGCTCTCTTATGCATGTATGTATGTATGCATAAATGCGCGTACAATTAAGCATACATATACCTATGTATGGTGCATATGTATGTCTGCAATTATTTGCGCGTTCTTCACCATGAGTTGCTATTCGTCTCGTTAAAATATTGTTTAATATTTTTTACTTTTTTCAGCAAAAATAATATTTTTGTTTTTAGTTTTCAGTGTTTTCTTTTTGTCTTCCTAACATCATATATATTTTAAATAARTATTTTGTACATCGAAATTGCTATTTAACGGTTTCAGTTATTACTAGTTGTTGTTATTATTGGCGTTCGATTGCAAATGCGACGCCGTGTTCCATCTTATACATATACATATGTATGTATGTAGCTTTGTGCGATTGTGAACATTATTATTCTTTTGCACGATTTCTTTTTCTCACATTCTTCAACCTTTTACCAAAATAGTTGTAAAATAAAATAAAAAAAACACTACTTTCTCATGTTTAATTAGAAAAAAATTCACTTTCTTTCGCATACTTGTTACTACAATCGTCTTCTTACATCGATTAAGGCTCAGCAGGACAATTGATAAACATTCAGAGAAACTTCACACTACACACACATTGACAGCAACCACTAACATGCGACGCGGTTTTGGATACGCGCGCCCATGGCAGTTGATGCCTTCAACATGCTGTAGCACGAGTGAAGTTTTTTTGAAGATTTACCAAAAGTCCTTGTACGAACCTCAGGAGCCTTGTATCGTGTTGTTCTGAGCAGTGTTTCCGGTGCCACTGCCGCCATTTACATTCTGCGCTGATACTTCCGACTTAACGCGACGTGCAATGTGCGATCGTGTRTGCTTGCGCAGATGATCTTTACGGTAGAAGCCTGCAATGAAGTGTGAATAGAACATACCAACGTACATTAGAATTTTTAGTTTAACATAGATTGTTTTATCTTTCTTATGCTTTCGCATCTATAAGCTTCAACAATTTTTATATTTAGAACGAGTTAGAGTTGGTTGGGTTTTTTAAACTTTTCTCAAATTTTTTTGGCGCATAAAAAGTTGTTATTATTCTCTACAAAGAACTGCTATTTGTAATAACATTATTTCACAGATTATTTAAAACCCAGTTTGAGCCTTAAAATTGTTCAGGACCTTTGATATTGTCGATTTTGCGGCTTACGAAATGCTGATGGATTCTTAGTGTGGATATGAACAGCACTCTGTGTAATATTTAAATAAGGTTTATATTCAACTAAATGGGAGTTTTGACGGACCTTTTATTGTTTGAGAGTTTCTAATATATTGTCATTTTACTACGCGAACTGTTTGAGTTGTCAAATTATAAAACCTCTAACGCATACTATATTTTATAGTTTCTAATTTAAATATATAATACATTTTATCTTTCCAATATTAATTTTTCCTTACCTTTGCCACACTCGACGCAAACATGTTTCTTTTCTCCGGAATGTATAACAATGTGGAGTGTTAATTGCTCCTTCCGCTTGAATGACTTCATGCAGATCTATTGCGTATRAATTATTCACAAAATTAAACACAATTTTAATAAAGACCTTGTTCTAAATATACTTACATTACAAACATGTGGTCTATCCGGTATGTGTGATAGCTTGTGACGGGTCAAATGATCTTTACGTTTCAATGCTGCATTGCAGATGTCACAAACGAACCGCCGTTCTACGGCATGTGAGATAACATGTTGTTCGATTAAACTACGATCGGGATAGGCCATCTGACATTCGGGGCAGCAATAGAGCGTGGATCCATCCAATGCCTTAATCTCACGTATCTCACCCGGTTTCGGGCGTGGCTTCTTCTCCTTTGGTGGCTTCTTCTTTCGGGTCTTCTTGCCAGTGGTCGTTGTAGTACCACCGGTTGAGGTAGTCGTGGTGCCAGCCGGTGCAGTGCTCGTAACCGTATTACCATTCGTAACCGTACCATTAGTGGTGGGTTGACCATTGTTTGCTTGTCCATTGATGTTTGGATTTGGTGCATTGCCATTAACAGCCTGATGTAGAGATGCACCATTATTTGTATTATCTGTCATATTGGTCATATGGCCAGTATGATCCATGCCAACAATGCCGCCATTGTGATGTGTAGCGCCATTTGCTTGCTGATTGGACGGTGGAGCGAGTGCGACACCGCCAAGTGCCAGACTCAAATTTGTGCCATTCTTGAGAACATCACCCTTAAAACCCGATGGTGATGTATCCAAATTGCTCAAATTTAAATTCCCTGAGTTGATTTGAGAGCCGACAATACCTGAGGATTCCTTCTTTATTGTTTCGGAATACTTGAGGAAGTGTTGTATTGAGATTGGCAGTGTTGCAGATAGCAAATGAGACGAGTAATCAACGGTGTTGGCAGTATTGGCCAATGTTTGCCACGACTGATTGACATTTTGCAAAATTTGTTGATTCAAAACTGGAAAATGGCGAATAGACAAGAAATTTATTAATAAATGCTTATTAACTATACGATTCCTTATTATTATATAACGATATTACATACATATTAGCGCATTTAAAACAATAACTTTGAATAATCATTAGTTTTCTCCACATTCGATAAATGTGWCTTATGTCTTGAAGTTACTAAAATTATCAAACTTATTTTGAAAGTTCTTGAAGAATTGTGTCGATGTGTTCAATATTTTTTTTTTTTAAATCGACTGAGTCCTATATTTCGAAACCAACTTTCAGAAAATATGAAGATTATTAAATTTTGTAAAATTGGTTTCGATATAGGCAAAAGAAAAGCATACGATCCGATCAAATTGGACTCGGATTGATCAATGCTRGACTCGTACCAAAAGAACTTAATCGATTGCAAAAACGATTTTGGGTAGAGGTGACATGCTTGACAACGTAGCTAGCTGTCAGTGAATTCCAAAGAATCTAGCGAATGGCCCAAAACCGAAAAATCCAAAAGCCACTGAAAACACTGAAGGTCTGAATATAGCATTATATTACTGTAACTAAGCCCACTTTATATTTGCTAGATATGACTAATATGTTGCCAAACCTTCTTTTTTAGCACTCAATGATAAATGGCAGCGCTCTTTTAATATATTTTCTTCAATTTTTCTTTTATAAAATTGGTTGTTTTAGTTTCGACATATCAAGTTATGCTTAAATTTCAGAGGTCATCAGATTTGGCTTAAAAATACTAAGATCCTTCATTCTAGCCGGTTATAACTATTCATGGGCTATATCTAAATTTAGAGATCTCTTCATAATGCCATGAGAATTGAAATCATGACATATGCGGCGGAATGGTTCGTTTAGCTCAAAATTTKTTCTAGAAAATTTTAAAAGTAAGGGTCTAAACTGCCTGGTACGAGTAGAGCGTGCGGAAACTTTAAAATTCATATCAGATAAAAGAGATGGGCTATAGACTGACCCATTCATGAGTTTTACAAAAAATGTTATACCAAGCATTTGCCTACGACTAGCGAGTGTCGGGAGATTTGTAAGTTTTAAACGATTAGTGTAAGGTGGAAGATTTAAATTGGGATCCCAATGCAAATGATTTAAGGCAAAAAGTAAAAATTGTTTTTGAACGGACTCTAACTTATCCGAATGGACTTGGTAACTAGGGTTCCAAACCACAGTTGCATAGTCTAATATAGCCCTCACCAGAGATGTAAAAAGAATTCTCGTGGTAAGCGGATCTCTAAATTCTTTATTCCAACCTTTAACAAAATCAATGGCATGTCATTTCTACCACACCGAGAAACTAGGTTGTTTAAGTCTGTTTGCAACTGACATCCTTCGYTGTATGACGTAAACGTTTTAAAAAGTTTAACATCGTCAGCATATAATATAATAAAACTTTTGAAAACTTAACAACAGACGATGTGTCATTAATAAATAACAAGAACAGAATTGGCCCAAGTTGGCTAACTTGAGGAACGCTTGAAGGAACATTGATTATGTAAGAAAAAGTATCTTTAAATATGACTTGTTGAATTCTATTACTAAGATAAGAAGCAACTCATTTTAGAAATATTGGTTGAAAACCAAGAAGATCAAGTTTATTCAAAAGAATTGAATGGGATATTTTATCAAAAGCTTTACTAAAATCTGTGTATATAACATCAGTGTTCTTATTCTCAATAAAGTCCGTTGATACATGTGATATGAAATAATTTACTACATTATACAGTACGAAGGCATAAGCAGGATGCAGCAAATGTGAATTACTTCTATGACACTTACAGAATCATATTGATTTTTTATTCCTACCTAATTCCACACAAAACAAATGGTTGTTATCCAACTTTGGAATAAGTCGAAGGAAAAGCGAAACGAAGTATTATGAAAAAGGACAAACAAAATTTAAAAGGCCATACAATTTTTTGGGCAACCTACCCCAACAAAGAAAGGATGTGGGGTTTTCATTCGCCTACAAGCATAAGTCGCTACATGTGTATGCKTACAAATGGCTACCCAGACTGCTGACGCTGCTAAATTGGTTTGGCACAGCAAGGATTTATTTCCAGGGTATGCAATGCAGCCATGGTTTCAGTATATAGGACGGATGTAAGCAAGAAAAAATCTATATATATAAATTTCACTTTTATGGTCGAAAGCTTATCAAACTTAAAACC